ATATATATATACCAGTGAAAAAAGAAAAAGATGACGGCAATCTAATAAAAACCCCAGAAAAGGTGGTGGAAGAGCCCGGCGGCCGGTGGTGGTCGGGCAAAGAAGGATATATAGATAACATAGCCGCCAATTTTTTAGTATGAGAATGGGCAAAGAAAAATGGGCAGAAAAGATGTGTGGATTCATTAATGAGAAGGAAATAGAAAGAGAGAATTATATAGATGATAAAAGCTCCCACTATAGTATTACTAGTGGAATTCTTCCTTCTCTTGGCGCCCATCATAGTAATCGCAGAATTAAACTCCGTCGCTACATTATCTCCCCCTCCAATCCCCGTTACAGGTTTGTTTATTATTCCTACTTTTCATTCACGTGGGAAAATCTTACGATTCGTTCTTTTGCATGTGTTTGTACGTGGACAAATTAAATTGGGACAAAATAATGTTGCTTACTGTTTTATTTTTCCTCTTAAATTTTCTCTCAGTTATTCTTTTCATGGGATTGTGTAATGGTGAAATTCCACTTTTTATGTTTGAACTATAGATGATTTTATGGTTACGTTAATGCAGCAGAAGTAAATTGTTAATAGTGTAATTTATGTAATTGTTAATCTATAAACTATGTTCTGAACAAATAATAAAATAATGTCCTGAAACGAGTCCAATTGGTCAACTTGATAATTGTAAATTAAATCAGGTCATGTACGGAGGTATTATGTTACTTTTCAAGTTCTGTTCTGAATATATGCTTGTATGTTTTAGAATTTTGTTGATTTAAGCCTATATGGCTTAACTGAAGTTATAATGCAGGGCTTGGGATGCATTTCTGGTGCTTCTCGTGTTCTACACAGCATGGGCGTCGCCTTTTCAGTTTGGATTTCTGGACAGACCTCGAGGACCTATTGCCATCATAGATAACATAGTTAACGGATTTTTTGCCTTTGATATTATCCTGACATTCTTTGTTGCCTATCTTGATAAATCAACTTACAGTATGATTGATGACCCAAAGTTGATCGCTTGGAGGTATACCAGATCTGGGTTTATTTTTGATGTGATATCCACTGTCCCATCGGAACTTGTTCGGAAAGCATTGCCCCACTCTTTTCAATCATATGGATACTTCAGTATGCTTCGTCTCTGGCGTCTTAGAAGAGCCAGTGCCATGTTTGCGAGGTAAGACCCCTCTTTATTTGCAGAGCTACTTAAATTTCCATGTTTGATTTGTTCTTAATGATTTTCCAATTTCAGTTATCGGACCAATGCCTGAATCTCTCCTTGATGGTCCAATGTAATACAAGAAAGAACGAATTGCAAACTTATATCTTTTAAATACTAGGAGTATTGTCTTTCCTCATGGTGCTTCTTTTAGCAATTGATTTGCATATTCAACTTTCTATGTTTGTCTTGTTATCTTGCTCTATGGGATTTTTCGGTCTAACACATTGTGAATTGTCCTGTTCCAATTCTACTTGCATCACACTGTTATAATAGTTTAGGTGAAGGCAATTATCATCACTTATGCTTTGACAAAATCTCTTACTTTAGCAATAAATTTGGCGATTAGGTTCCAAGATAAATAGCTGATGATATGTTGTTCTTTTGCTGTAGATTGGAGAAAAACAGGAAGTTCAGTTACTTTGGGGTTCGAGTACTGAAGCTTATATGTGTAAGTCTTTCGAGCAATAAGTGGAATTTGCTTGTAAAGTACCTGAATGGCAATTTACTTTACCATAACACACTTGGGATATTTTTTTCAGGTGACTCTTTTCGCAGTTCATTGTGCTGGCTGTTTCTACTATCTTCTTGCTGCTCGGAAAAAAGACCCAAGTAAAACATGGCTTTCACTTGCCATGGAAAATTTTCATGACAGGAGCATCTGGGATCTCTATGTAATGTGTATATATTGGTCCATTACAACGCTTACAACAACTGGCTATGGGGATTTGCATGCTGTTGCTACAGAGGAGATGATATTTACCATGATTTACATGCTATTTGACCTCGGGTTGACTGCTTATCTCATTGGAAACATGACCAACTTAGTTGTCCATGGAACCAGTAAGACTAGGAAATTTGTGAGTAGATTTCCCAATGCAGTAATTGGAAAAGCATTTCTGGAATATCAGGGACACTTTCTTGTCTTGCTAGCTTAAGTTTGTAATAACAATTTCTGACGTTCTTTCAGAAGGATTTTTCTTTGATGATCGTTTTGTTGCACAGAGGGATACCATTCAAGCTGCTTCAAGCTTTGCACAAAGGAATAATTTGCCGGTTCGCCTTCAAGATCAGATGCTATCTCACTTGTGTTTGAGGTACAGAACAGACTCGGAAGGTCTGCAACAACAAGAAACTCTTGAAACACTACCCAAAGCTATTCGATCTAGCATTTCACATTATCTGTTCTATTCACTTGTGGATAAGGTGTACTTATTCCATGGTGTATCAAATGACTTACTTTTTCAACTGGTAAGTCCCGTTGGTCTTAAGGCTTCATTAAATTTCACCCTACTGGGCAATATTCTTTTATGTATAACAAAATGTTGTTCAGTTGTTCAAGTAATTTCATTAATAATACTAATAGGATTTGGTTTCTTCTCTGTGATTTTATATCGTACAGGTCTCTGAGATGAAAGCCGAGTATTTTCCCCCAAGAGAGGATGTCATTTTGCAGAATGAAGCACCAACAGATTTTTATATTCTGGTAACTGGAGCAATGGTAAGGAGCTCTTTATTGCTCTCCCTCTATTTTTCTCCGGGAAAGGAACGGAAAGCAAAAGAAAAGAATGCAGTAAAATATACCAACTCATAATTCTCCCAGATTTTCACTCTGCTATTGATTTATCACAATAGCAAACTCAAGTCAAGGAACCATGATATCTTCTCTTCACTTTCCTTGAAAACGAAAGATTTCGAATATATACTACTCACAAAAAAATTTACGCTGGTCGATCCACTTTTACTCCTCAATTTTTTGCTGTTAAACAGGCAAATCATCTATTCTTTTCTTTGTTCATTTTTATTGCTGTAAGTCAATCTCTTGATAATCACATCTTCCTTACAGGAACTTATTTCACACAGGAATGGGATGGAACATGTAAGTTTCTCTAGCTCAGGACTTTAAACCATTACTGCTGTCCTGAGCTTCAATGCTTATTTGGTGGATAATTTTTATGTAGGTGGTTGGCGAGTTAAAGGCAGGGGACGTTTGTGGAGAAGTAGGTGTCCTTTGCTATAGACCTCAATTTTTTACCGTTCGAACCAAAAGAACATCCCAACTGCTACGTTTGGATCGTACTTCTTTTTTCAACATCGTTAAAGCAAATATTGGAGATGGGACAATAATCATGAACAATATCCTTCAGGTGAATAGACTCTTTTAATATTATCTACGAGGCTGTTTAAATAATCCCATATATGCTAATGTAGAAAGCAGGTTGCCAGTGATTTTTTATGGCTATTGAAAACGTATTTAACTTCCATTTCTCCTGAGCCTTTCATTATATAGTCCTTTGATATAGTTACCAAGTTGTCGCGACTTTGACTTCTGTGATAATACTCAGCTGCGAGTGGAAGTCGATATTTTTCACCGTGTTGCAGTCTTTGCTTGAATTTATTTTGGAATCTCAAGAGCAAGAATTTTTTCCTTATGGAAGTGTCTTGGCGAAGATTTTTCACCTATATCAGCTTTACTCTCAACTAGAATAAAAGATCTGGAGGATAACTTTGATGTGCGGATACTATTCTAGCTTTAAACAATGATCTTTTTGGTTGCAGCATTTGAAAGAGCGAAGGGACCCAATGATGACAGCAGTATTAGCAGATATAGAACACATGTTGACTCAGGGAAGAATGGACATACCTCTCAGCTTATGTTTTGCAGCAAACAGAGGAGATGATCTTTTGTTGTGCCAATTGCTTAAAAGGGGTACCGATCCTAATGAATCTGATAACAACGGGCGTACAGCGTTGGTATGACTCCTCTCTATTTCTCATTAACCACTTGACCAAAATAATATTTGTGTTTGGAGGTTGAAAATCATTATGCATATTATGATACAGCATATAGCAGCTTCAAATGGAAATGTTGAATGTATTCTTCTACTTCTCGACTTTGGAGCAGATCCAAATAAAAAAGGTACTCTTTCCATTTCTATACAATAGGAAATTGCATGGTCTGTTTCTTTTGGAAAATCGTACTTTGTGTTTGGGAAATTATGGATATATATTACTAGTTTAAAAAGTTAACACCGGCCATTAATCTGCGTTTGCATTCACTTATTCCAATGATCTCAACTGTGTATCTAAGAGGCAGTTTTATCCTTTGCTTCCTTTAATATAATTATTTACATCTGCCCTCCTCCAATTTATATACTCAGCTATGATCTTGATAGATCTCTATTTAGAAATTTTAAGCACTAGCGCCTGCGCATTTTTGAGTAGAGTATCACTCCCAAATTTTGCAACTGTATTGTAAATTCAATTTAAGATTGTGTCACTTTTCTTTCTGATAAACAGCTAATTTATGTCATGAAAGCAGATTCTGAAGGAAATGTTCCATTGTGGGATGCAATGGTGGGGAAGCACGAAGCTGCAATAAAATTGCTTGTGGACAACGGTGCAAAGATATCTTCAGGAGATGTAGGTCAGTTTGCTTGCTTTGCGGTGGAGCAAGGCAGCCTAGACTTGCTCAAGGAGATTATCAAGTATGGAGGTGATGTCACCCTTCTTAACAGCCTAGGCACGACCGCAATGCACACTGCTATTTCTGAGGAGAATGTGGAAATAGTTAAATACCTACTGGAACAAGGAACTGACATTGATAAACCAGATGTTCACGGTTGGACACCAAGAGCATTGGCTGAATATCAGGGCCACGAAGAGATAAAGGAGCTTTTCAACTTGATGCAACCAAGTAGTAATAAAGAAGCCAATGTCTCTCCTCCTGAAATGCCTGATGCTCCCTACCTTAAGAAGTATCAGAGCGACCCCATGATTTGCGTCTCAACTCCTGTGGAAACACCATTACTAGCTAGAGAAAATGGCTCGTCCAATGGCAGGTTGAGGAGAAGGGCTAGTTTCTATCAGAATTCACTGATGGGATTTATGTCAGCACGCCAGAGACACCATGAAGGTGAGTACAGATTTAAATTCTGAAGCATCAGTTCATAAGTACATCTCCTAATATTTGGGAAATTTTCTTATATCTATAATAATAGGTATAGGATTCAGCGCGGAGCCATCTAAATAACAACTAGGATTATAACTAACCACTTTCATCATATCCAAATTAGTCGTAAAGATGGTCAACTATACATACATCTATGTTACAGAATAGTCTTTTAGTAATACACCACTCTACCTCCTAGTAGGTCTCAGCTTGATAAAGTTTTGGAAGGATTTTGGTTAAAAGTTTTGTGAATCTTATAATACTTCGAGGTAGATTGCGTTCTTGAATTGATTTTGTTTGAAATTAATTGTGCATTATGGAAACTTGACAGGAGGAGGTGACCTTAGTTATTCTTCAACTAAAGTTGCAAATGCAAGAATTCTAGACAGAATAACCATCAGTTGTCCAGAGAAAGGTGATATAGGTGGAAGGGTTGTGCTTTTGCCGAATTCAGTTCAAGAGCTACTTGATATTGGTGCTAAAAAATTTGGTATCTCTCTCACGAAAGTACTAACTGAAGATGGCGCACTTATTGAAGACATTGCTGTGATTAGAGATGGAGATCATCTAGTTCTTGCTGGTGATGGTACTTCAGAAAATTAAACATAGCTCATCATTTCAAACAATGATGTTTCAGAAATGGATCTGATTGATTTTGAGCTTATTCTCTCATGGAATGCATACTTGGTATTGTAACTGAAGAATTGACAAAAAATACACTGTGAAGTTAGCGACAAATGTAGGGTGGGTTAAACCAAACTCATTATTTTTTGCTCGAACTATGTATACATATGTAAAAAGACTAAAAATGCGTACATATTATAATATCACATTCATTTTGAGCCCACCGACTCTATATCAGGGGCGAAGGCACACTTGGGTTAGGGTGGTCAACTGACCACCCTTTATCGGAAAATTACACTGTTTATATAGGTAAAATATTAGACTTTAGAGGTACAGAGGTGCATAACATGTATTGAACACCCTTTGTCGGATTATTTTTTTTACATATTTCAAGTTTGAACACCCTTGAGAAAATTCCTGGCTTCGCCACTGCTCTATATGTTGGATTGCCTCTGGGTGGAACGAGGCTGGTCTGAACAAGAGAAAACCTCTACTTTTTATGCTTATCATATGGATAATAGATGAGAAAATCACCAAAAAGGAAACGTAATTACCGCACAGAAGAAATTGATTCACATATAGTCATTGAAAAGTTGGAAGAAAAAGGACAAAGAAAGAGGGG